GGGCTTGAGCCCACGAACCATCAGATCATGACCTGAGCCAAAGTCAGATGCTCAACTGACTAAGCTACCCAGGCCCCCAGTTTAACTTTTAAATTGAGGATGAAAATACCTATTCCACCTTCTTCTCAGAGTGATTATAAAAAAAATGAGCAGAATGTGTGAAGGTGCTTAGAAACGAGAAAGTGCCTCACAAATGCTACTCACTATGATCATTATTTTAGGTTTGGAAGTGATCAAATCTTATGTGTGTTTTAGAAAGAATGTATGAGAGAGAGAAAATGAAAAGAAGAGAAGCAGGTGGTTGAGGGACCATGTAAGTGATGTTGCAATAATCCAGGCATAAAATGATGAGGTCCTGGACCAAGGCAGTTACCACAAAGAGGGAGGGCTGATCCAAGTACTGTTTTAAAGATGGAACCAACAGAACATGGCACACTAATTGGACAGGAAGAACATAAAGAAAACAAAGAGCCAAAGGTAAAAAGTTTGATAGATGGTGATACCATGAGCCAAGCCAGCCCCTTGTTTCTTTCTAATTGTTGACATCCAGAGAAGAAGGCAAAGAAAGGAGGTGCCCCATGGCTTATATTCTATTATTCTGACTCTCAGTGGCCCTGGCCTCTTCATTTTGACTGTCTCCCTCCCCACTCCCCCCAAAACAGTGTTGATAGAACCATCTCAACCTGAAAATAAGTCCATAATTTCTCCTTTTAATATGCCCTCAGCTTGACTATGACCGTGATAAGGTGTCTGTGCCACGGAATCCATCTCTCTTGGCGGGAGACGCTGAATGAGGTGCCACCTTTTCCCCTGCCCTGGGACTGTGACACGTCCCTCAACCCCTAGCTGGTTTCTTCCTCCCTGGATATGAGCAGTGTTTTATTTTGGAAGGAAAATTGTGCTCAGAGACTGAGTTTGAGTTTGCCAGCAATTTATTTAACATAAGTTCACTGCAGGAATTTTACAGGCCAATAGTATACAGGATAATTTCTCTAAATAACCAATAAAGAAATAACATACTCCAAATCAGTGACAGATCAATCATACTGTTGTTCCAGGCAAGGGGAGGTGAACGGAATAAAGTACAAATTTAGCTGAGGTGTACCTTTATACAAGTTGGTACTTGGGGAGAGAGAGCTTAGCCAAACTGGGAGCTGATGTCTCCCAGTGCAAAAGTAAAAGTCCTGTGTTGCTAGAGCACGTTGCTATAGAATGGGGGCTGGTGTTGATGGGCAAGAAGATCTTCATGGGGCTGCTGCATGACTTTCATCACCTCCTATCAGTAGCACCTTTGCAGATGTAAAGTTTTATTCAGCTTACTACTGGAAGCCCTCGCTGCAGAAATCAGACAAAACAAGAAATAAAAGTCATCCAAATTGGTAGGGAAGAAGTAAAACTTCCACTATTTGCAGATGACATTATACTATATAAAGAACACCCTAAAGACTCCCTCAAGAAACTACTAGAATTGATCAGTGAATTCAGGAAAGTCCCAGGATACAAAGCCAATATGCAGATATCCATTTCATTTCTATACACTAATCATGAAATAACAGAAAGAGAAATTAAGAGAACAATCCCATTTACAATTGCACCAAAAATAATAACATACCTAGGAATAAAGTTAACAAAGGAGGTGAAACACCTGGCCTCTGAAAACATAAAACATTGATGAAAGAAATTGAAGATGACACAAAGAAGTAGAAAGATATTCCATGCTCATGGATTGGGAGAAAAAATACTGTTAAATGTCTATACTACCCAAAGTAATCTACAGATTTAATGCAATCCCTATCAAAATACCAACAGCATTTTTCACAGAGCTAGAACAAACAATTCTAACATTTGTATGGAAACACAGAAGATCCCCAAATATCCAAAGCAGTCTTGAAAATGAAAAACAAAACTGAGGCATCACAATCCCAGATATCAAGATTTACTACAAAGCTGTAGTAGTAAAAGTATTATGGTAATGGTACAAAAGAGCAATGGAACATAATAGAGAGCCTGGAAATAAACCCATGATTATAGCCAGTCTTCAACAAAGTAATGGCAAAAAGTCTCTTCCACAAATGGGGTTGAGAAAACTGGACAGCTACATGCAAAGAAATGAAACTGGACTACTGTCTTATACCACACACAAAAATAAACTCAGAATGGATTAAAGACCTAAATGTGAGATCTGAAACTGTAAAAATCCTAAAAGAGGGCATAGACAGTAATTTCTCTGACATCAGCCATAACAACATCTTTCTAGATATGTTTCCTGAGGCAAGGAAAACAAGAGAAAAAATAAACTATTGTGATTACGTGAAAATAATGCTACACAGCAAAATAAACAGTAAAACTTAAAAGATGGTCTACTGAATGAGAGAAGATATTTGCAAATGACATATCTGATAAAGAGTTAGTATCCAAAATATGTAAAGAATTTATACAACTCTACACCCAAAAAACAAATAATCCAGTTTAAAAATGGACAAGAGATATGAATAGACATTTCTCCAAAGAAGACATCCAGATGGCCAACAGACACATGAAAGGATTCTCAACATCACTCATCATCAGGGAAATGCATATCAAAACTACAATAAGATATCACCTCACACCTCTCAGAATGGTTGAAATATAAAACACAAGAAACCGTGTTGGTGAGGATGTGGAGAAAAGGAACCCTTGTAAACTATTGGTGGGAATGCAAACTGGTACAGCCACTATGGAAAACAGTATGGAGGTTCCTCAAAAAATTAAAAATAGAACTACCATATGACCCAGTAATTCCACTACTAGATATTTATCCAAAGAATACAGAAACACTAAATGGTAAAGGTATATGCACCACTATGTTTATTGCAGAATTATTCACAATAGCCAAATTATGACGGAGCATAATGTCCATTGATAAATGAGTGGGTAAGGAAGATGTGGGATAGATGCTCAATGGAATATTACTCAGCCATAAAAAGAATGAAATCTTGCCTTTTGCAACAACAAGAATGGGTTTGGAGAGTATAATGCTAAGGGAAATAAAGAAAAATACTGTGTTCTTTCACTCACATGTGGAATTTAAGAAAAAAAACCCAAATGAACAAAGAAAGAGACAAACCAAGAAACCAACTCTTACCTATGGAGAGTTCTTTCACCTATGGGTGAAATAGGTGAAGGGGATTAAGAGTACACTTATCTTGATGAGCACTGAGTAATGTGTAGAATTGTTGAATCACTGTATTGTACACCAGATGACACTGTATGCTAATTGGAATTAAAATAAACTGCAAAAAATGTGTCACCTTTACAAAGACTGGAGCTGATTGCTCCAAGATCTTCAAGGAGCTCTCTTAGATATGCAAAGTGTAGCCTTGCTCAGACCAAGCACTCTTGGGTCATCCTCACAAATTCTGCATTCATAGTCTACTGTTCCCTTTGCCATAGTTGTTTCTTCATATGCTTTTATTGTTAAGCCCTCAGTGTGGCCCCTCAGCAGCTGAGCGACTGAGTTCTGATACATGAGAACAGATGAGATGACAACATCCGGAGACAACTTACTTACTTCATTCTTATAGCAAAACAACTTTACTTCAGAATACAATGTTTTTTCCTCTTTTTCATATACAAGTGGATTAAAACAACTTCGCTTAAGTCATAAGCAAGCAGTTTTGAAATAATATCAAGCAAATACATAAGGGAGTAGGTGACCGAACCCAGAGTGGGTGCTGGGCTCCCTAATTGTCAGGCTGCAGCTCTTCAGTTGTGGGGAGCACCTTGACTAAGGGCAACAGCTTCCAGGGTTGTGGGGAGCATGCCTGAGCCGTGGCTGGAGAGGCATTACACTACTAAGGGCATTGTAGCCTGGAGGGGTGTTTGATGAGAAGGGCATTGCTAGAAGTGGTTACTAGAGAGGTCTATTACCAGATGATTATTTCTTTTTAATTTAATAGAATTTATTGTCAAATTGGCTTCCATACAACACCCAGTGCTTATCCCAACAAATACCATCCCCAGTGCCCATCACCCACTTTCCCCTCTAATCCCATTTGCTCAGCCATTCATCAGCCAGATGAATTTATTCATTTTCCTCTCTACCAGGAAGCCCTTATGTCTCTTTCCCCAGTTTCTTTTCTTCTGGAGCTTTAGGCTTTTCATCGTCTTGTGCCACAGAGTGGCTGGTCCCCTACACCTGTCAGTGGACTGTGTTTTCTCCCTGATCCTGACCTTGGCTTTCCATCTATCTCATTATCTCCTCTCATACCCCTCCTATCTTCCTACTGTCTTTCTCTTGGAGCCAGGTGCCTTTCCCATGTCCTTCCCTTTCCTAATTAACCTCTACTAGCCATCTTCACACAGCATTCAGTCCTTCAAGGCATAGGTGTCATTGGTTTTCAGTGGCAGCCCCTATAGAGTGTCATAGGATGCAGGATGCCAGAGGAAACATGGCACTGTGGTTAGAATTTAGATCCCAGCAAATTGCTTCCCTTCTCTGTTCCTTGGTTTCCCCATCAGTGAAATAGGAATTTTAATAGTACTTATTACTTCACATGGTGACTGTAATGGGCTAAATTGGAGTCCATGGATATGAAAAACTTCATACAAGGCTGGCACATAATTGATCCATATGATTAATCACTGTTGTTATTAAAAGCATAAAGGGTAGGTGTGCTCCTTGGGGCATTAAGGGCCTTACGTTGTAGCTGGGGAAACAGTACATAGCATTTTGAACCCTAGCTTGTCACCTGACTAAGAAAGCACCTTTCAGAATAGAGCAAGCAGAGGGTGTTAGTTCTGACTGGGATGAAACTGATCTGGGAAGGCTTCCTGAGTGAGGCCGAACAAAGTATGTTTCTGTGCAGCATTTTAAGAAGATGATAGTTGCAGCCCGGAACAAAAGAAAGGGGAGAGTTACCTGCTTAAACGCTCTCTGGCTTCTACTTGCTTCACCCTTCCTATTAGTCATGGCACTACCCAGAATCCCTGCTTGTAAATCTTATTCTTCTTGTCCACAGGGAATTTGCCAAAGAGAGAGAGAGGGTGGAGAACCGGAGAGCTTTTATGAAATTGCGGCGGCAGCAGCAGATTGAGCGTGAGCTGAATGGGTACCGCGCCTGGATAGACAAAGCAGGTGAGCCCTGGCGGGCCGCACAGGCATCAGTGCAGAAGTCCCCCTGTGGCCCCCCTCCCCTGCCCCAGTGCCTCCATTCACAGGAGCAGCCTTGGCCAGAGCAGGGAGTAGCTCTGGATGCCTCACCAGCTTTGCGGTCTCCATGCTGGTCCCTCTTTCTTCCTCTGGGGACTAACTGTCCCTATTCTTCTACCAAACACCTTCATGAGGCCCACAGTTGAGCAAGGTGAACTGAGTGAAAGGTAACATAGCATAATCCTGGAGCTGAGGTTGGGTGGGTGACATCATACACCGCTGCTGATAATAATAGTAACCAGCAGCAGCAGCAGCAGCAGCAGCAGCAGTCCATTCATTCCACAAATATTTGAGTGTTTACTTGTTCCAGCTCCTGTTCTAGGTACTTGGATACAGCAATGAGCCCAACAGACCACCAGCTTGCTGAGGCCCTTTCATGTGGAGCCCATTCCCCTCTATTGGAGAAGGCAGAGATAAACAAAATAATAAATAAATAACTTGTAAGAAGGTGATAAGTCCAATGGAAAGCAGATCGAGGTAGGTTTATGGGGTGTAGGGTAGGCTGTGTTTTGACATAGGGAGATCAGGAAGAGCCTTTTGGGGAGAGACTTGAAGGAGCTGATGTAGTAAGTCATGGGAAGGTCTGAGGGGACTGTCTCAGTGCTAAGACTCTAGTGTGGAAGCAGGCCAGGAATATTCCAGGAACAGAAGGAGGAACGAGTAAAGGTAGAGGGGCAGGAAGGCTGGGTGGGAGCAGTAATGCGAGGAGTAGGCAGAACTTATGGGCCATTGTAAGGATTCGGGGCTGTATTGTTGGTGATGCAAGAACCATTGGAGGGTTTTGAGCTGAGGTGGGATATGGTCTGATTGAAGATTTTGAGGGGGCCCTTTGGTTGCTGCATTGAGAATAGACTATAGGAAGGTAAGGTCAGACGCAGGGGAACCGACGGTGAGGCCACTGCGGTAAGCCGGGTAATACCTGATGGCGAGAACTGGCTGTTCCTATTCCCGGAGCTCTCACCAGTTCCTCACTATGAGGCTCCACCTTGACGATAGGTCCAAACCTCTCACGATTTTATTAACCCACAGAAAACCACCAGCTGCAAGTTTGACTGTGGCTCAGCAACTTATGAAAGGGCATCGATCACCCCATATCTGTCAGTAAAATGGATGCATTTGCTTTCCTTATTATTTTAAAGATTACATTGCATTGCTGTTATATATCTTTATTTTCATCCTGAGCAAAGAGTAATTTATTTTAATAAAAAAATGCACATGACAGCATTGTTTTCCTCTATTCCTGGTAGAAGGCAAAGCACAAATGTGAGGTCTCTCGGGAAAAAAAATTGGAATATGATTTGATGCTGAGTTGCCTGAGACTTACTCTTCTCTAGCAGCTTTGGAATGATCCCCATGGCACTCCTCTGCTAACCACCAACACACAAAAGCTCTCTCCGCTCTGGAGTCAACTTTTGATCATCTGTCAGGGAGGAGAAAGTATGTATGATTAAAAGTGCCATTTCAAAGCCAGATAATAACCACCTCCCATTTAGGACCATCTGCATTTCTTTGCTGCCTCTAGAAGCATGTACCATGCCCACTGACTGTACTTCCAGTTTGCCCTTTCTCCTCCAAGGTTCTCGTGCGGGGGTGAATGTGAACCTCTCCTTCTTTCCAGAATGTTAACTCAGCCTTACTGAGCAGATTGGTCTCCAGGTCTGGCAGGCAGCTCGAAGTTCCCCACTGTCCTTGGCTTCCTGGGAGGAGGAGCCATCTGACAGACCACCCCAGTGAGCAGTCTGGCAGCAGAACCGGAAAAGAACCTTGCCCGCCCTGTCCGCGACCCCACTCGTGGTCAGGCAACACAGGACAGACGCTGTTCTTTGTGGCTGTGCTTTCCAGATACATGCAGAATTCCAAGGCTCCACTTCCTTCCAGTTGGCAAAGCCAGCTCTCTCCTTCTAAGAAAAAAGACGCACTGCAACGTCAAATTGGGCTTCCTGGCCCTTCCCTTTGCAAATGGGGTGTGAGTGAATCAGAGACATATGGGTTACATTTCCCTGGAAAGACACTCTCAAGTTCGAAAGAGAACTTGGCAAAAGGCGATGGGGGAAGGTGGGGGCAGCTTCCGCACATCCAGAGCCCTCAAGCACTTCCCAGAGACACTCAGCAGCACCACACTCCCTCCATCTGCCTTGGGGGTCCTCAGATTTGCCCACCCCAGCATCCAGGCACTGTACAGAGCAGATGGGACTCCCTGGCTGAGGTCATTCATGTTGCTATGAGGTATTTTAACGAGTACCTAAGTTTTAAATGATGTCCTTCAAACAATGTGTGCTGTAAATGACTCTAAAACCTCTATGTCTGCATAAAGGAACATCTCACCAATAACATTTAACCTGTCAACTTAGAGTTTTGCCAGAGGCTGTACTTGAAAAGGAAAGCTAAACATTTATGACTTGGTATAATGGCCATCCTGCGTGGTATCCTCCGAGCCTCAAAATGGTCTCCTCCCTGAGAAATACATTATATACTCTCAGTTTTATATGCAGGTGGAATTATGGTAATGGCTTTACCCTCTTCTGCTTCTCCTTTTACTTGTTAACAATTGCTTAAATGAAATCATCATTTAATAGGGCCTGCTGCAGGCTTTTCCCCGCAGCTGGGATCTTAAGGAATGATTATTAAGGCTTCCAGCTCCCTGCCTATGGCTGAGGTTGGGGTGAGGATTAAACTCATCCTCATCATTCCCAGAGAAGATGCAGAATCCTGCCAGATGTGGGACAGAAGGACTAGTTTGTAAGTTTGGAGGGATGCTAGTAAGGTTTATTCTAACATTTCTTACTAGAAAATAGTAGCCTACTAATGGTGACACCTCCCTTGAATACAAGACTGTTCCCAGGGAGGTCAAGAGGAAAATCCAAGGGACCGTTTGGTTCTTTTCCAAATACTGACAACCGGACACAGCATTCCAATGCTGGCCAGTCTTTCAATTCTCCAATTGGGTATCCAAAAACTCAATTCAAGTCTGACACTAAACACCACCAGAAGTTAGTACAGATCCCACAGGTTAGGGACTCAGTCCCACAAGCCTGCCCTCACTTCACACACCAGCCACAAGTGGGGTCCCCAGGTGACTTGCATTTTTACCCACTCAACTGCAAATTTAGAGGGTTCCAGGTTTGGTAATTCCTAAAATGACTTCCAGAACTCAGGAAAACTATACTTACTATCGCCAGCTTATTACAAAAGATCCAACTCAGGAATAGCCAAATGGAAGAGATTCCTAGGGCAAGGTGGAGGGGTAGAGGTGGGCACAGAGCCTCTATGCCCCCTTCACATGTGTCACACTCTCCCAGCACCTTGATGTATTCACTAAGTCTGAAGCTCCTTGAGCCCCATCATGTAGAGTATTTTGATTTTGTTTTTGTTTTGAAGATTCCATTATGCAGACATGCTTGATTAAATTGTTGGGCATTGGTGATTGCACATTCTCAAGCCCCTCTCCCATCATGGGAATTAAGAGGGGGATGAGGCTGAAAGTTATAACCTAATCATGTGGTTGGTTTTTTTGGTGACCAGTCCAGATCCTTAAGTAACACAGGCCTTGCCAACAGTGAGTCACCTTGTTAGCATACAGAAGACGGTAAATTCCAAGGATTTTTGGAGCTCTGTGCCAGGAATGTGGGCAAAAAACAGATATTTATTTTTTTATTCTATCAAAGGGACAAATTCACGATAGACCTAAGCCTCTTTTGCTCAAGCAAGGCAGACTGTAGTGTGGGGGTAAGAGGAAGGAAGCCCACAAGATCCCATTAGCATCTTCCTCTGCTCCCCCTCAAAGAAGTAGACTGGCTGGAGCTCAAAACATGGTTTTATCTCCTGAACGAAGCAGTAGATGTTGCCCTAGTATGCCTTGTATGTGCTGCAGACAAGAAAAACCAAGGAAGCTCCTATTGCTAGAAAAAGTTTAAGCAACATGGATAGAAATGAAAAAAAATTGAAATGGAAAATTTTCATTCCTATCAGTTGAGGAGATTTTGGTTAGAAGGATAAGGTCTTTGTCTCAGTAAGCATTATCAGACACAGGGCTGAATTTTACCAGTCAACCTCCAAGTGCCCCCTTACTACAAGAACTTCCTTTCTGTTCTCATATGCACTTGGGAGCTCCTTCTGTGACCCTCAGTGTCTTTTGGATGCTGGTGCCTGCGTGGAGCTATGAACTCTTTGCTCTCTCTCTGTTACCCTGGAGTCACAGCTGTCCCTAGGGGATTTTTCATTTTGCAACATAATTTGACATTTACAGATAATTTACTAAACCATTTATTTCCATATAGAGGAAGTCATGCTTGCTGAAGAAAATAAAAATGCTGGAACATCAGCCTTAGAAGGTAAGGAAGTGCTCCAACGCTTTACTGCATTTGTGCCCTCTTACACGGTGGCAATCTCTTGATCAAAAGAGGAGAAAGAAATAAAAGAGCAGTGCTCTGGGATTTGAAATGAAACTCTCTCTCTCATAAAATCCCTCGTGCTTTAAAATGAAGGGAATTGAGTCATGGATTTAAATGCTTTTTGAAGTGATAAAAATGAACTCCAAGAGCTGCTTTGTTCCAGGGCGTGTGATTGATACTGTGCAATGAAAAGACCATCATACAACCAGTGGCACGGAAAGAGATCTTCTTTGAAAATTTGTAGGGGTTGTCTTGGGACCACTTTCATTAGCAGGAAGTGGCATTGTTTATAAAGAACCAGAACAAATAGATATGGAGTGCCTATTTACTGACTGCATATAGATAAGGTCTGGAAGGATTCTGGAGCACATGTGTTTCGAGGTGCTGCTGAGTATAGGAGTCATGTTTCTGTAGACATTCGTGACTTCTTTAACCATGCCTCAGGTGTTTCAAGGCAGTCGCCGGTGTCACAGAGGCCTCTGGCCCACAGTCCTCAGCTTTGACCAGAATGCTCTGATTGTTCTTGTGTTCTTTCACTGGCCTCGCCCATCCCTGGTGCAGTGCTTCGAAGGGCAACCATCAAAAGGAGCCGAACAGAGGCCATGACTCGAGACTCCAGCGATGAGCACTGTGTTGACATCTCTTCTGTAGGTGAGTGGAACCAGTTAGATCTTCTTTTATTTGTTTGAATCTTCCATAAAAAGAAAGATCCTGTCTTTTGAGAAGCACCACAAAGAGGAACAGAATCAAAAGAATCCAGAACTTAGGGATGTAATAAGGGAAAGTCTTGGAAGTCTAATCTAGGTGACGGTGAGTTGCAGAAAAAAATGAACCATGGGGTTGAGGGCTCAGAATCCAACCCAAATTCTGCAAATGTGTCAGATGTATCCCATTTGCATACACACACACACACACACACACACACACACACACACACACTATCTGTCCTGGGTGCAGTCAAAGAACCTACTTTGGAATATTGTTCAGAGGATCCTGAGGACCTGTTGCTTCTAGTGACTACCATCCCCCACCAAGAATCTGGAGTCATTTGCTTACCACAGTGGCACCCACCTACTTCCATGTGATATTTAAACAGATTCCCACTGACAACCCTTAAAAACCCTCTTCAATCTCCAACATTCTGGTTGATGCAGGTTTTACATCCCCAGAAAAAGGGAAGGGTCTCACTTCATCCTTAAAAGCAGAAGAGTTGTACAGAGCTCATGGCTGCTTTAGGCTGCCATTGGGAGAAATATCACAAATGCAGCAAAATGACTCCAAAGCCCGAAGCATATTTAAAAGAGAAGGCCAGAGAGAAGTTTAATCTATGAAAAAATTAAAACATCATCCTATTAGAATTCAAAACACTGGATGTATGTCTCATGTTATGCCCAGGGAATCTTGATTTCCTAAAACTGAATGTCCAGTGAGGATAATCAGGGATCTCTGCTACGGAAACACTTAGCTCCTACCATGGGGATTCCCTGGGCCTGCAACGTGGTGGTCACCTAGCCCACTGAAGCTGTCCATCTCCCCCTTTGAAGACCCACGTGCCATGGAGGGTGATCTGTTGTGCAGCTTCAGTCTTCTGTACTTGTTTCTCCTTAGGCACACCTCTTGCCCGAGCCAGCATCAAAAGCACAAAGGTGGATGGAGCCTCCTATTTCCGGCACAAAGAAAGGCTTCTGCGCATCTCAATCCGCCACATGGTTAAATCCCAGGTGTTCTACTGGATTGTGTTGAGCCTTGTGGCTCTCAACACCGCCTGTGTGGCCATCGTCCATCACAACCAGCCACAGTGGCTCACCCATCTCCTCTGTAAGTGAATAGTGACTACTGGCTGTCACAGGTGCAGCCCAACTGGGGTGTGAATGTAAGAGAGCAGGCATCCTGCTGGGCCTGGCAGTGTTCTGTGAGGGAGGCCAGTGTTGTCCTCAAGGGGTTGGAATATCCCATGACCATCCCTTTGTCATTCACTATTGAATCAGATCAACAAATCTTTTCTGAGAAGTCAACTAGATAGTGTTAGCCTTGGGTACTTTACCACCCTCACTTAGTGTCTTTAGGAGGCTCAGTGATGGAGAGAGTTTGGCCACCTAAGTCCTGGGAAGAAAGTTCTTAGGGCAGTGGTTACCTCCAATAGACCAATAAGGGAACTTCTAGGTCAGCTCTGGGTAGGGCTGCCACTGGGTATAAATGAGGATCCAGGATGCTGTCACAGCTGGGTGTCTATAGGGCAAATCTGGCTCTTTCATCCAAGCCATGGTAAAGCCCTTCCTTTCTCTCCTGAGAGCTGTATACCATTTAAAGGACAGTGACAAACCTGCCTATTAAAAAACAGCAAAGCTAATATGTGGAGTTTGCCTGGGACTCCCAGATCAGAGTGTCTTCACATATCATCAGGTTTTGCCTGGCTCTGACCTGACATGGTCAACAAATGTTTTTGCATTATGGACCCTGCTGCTGTTGAGGGCTCCTCTGCAGGTGAGAGTGTTGGGCTGGGGCATGCAGAACAAATGTTTCTTCTTTTGATATTTTCAGACTATGCAGAATTTCTGTTTCTGGGACTGTTCCTCCTGGAGATGTCCTTGAAGATGTATGGCATGGGGCCTCGACTTTACTTTCACTCTTCATTCAACTGTTTTGATTTTGGGGTAAGTGCTTTGGAGCCCGCCTGGCCTCCTGCTTCATGTCGATATGCCACGGTTTGAGATAAGCAGCTTGCTCCGCTGCTCAGCAGGAAGCACTGAAATCAGAATTTATAAAAGGGGAATAAATAAGTTAGCTAAAGGGAGGCCAGGAATGAGTGGATCCTTCCCATTGTAGGTTTGGTTGGTTGGTTTTTTTAAAGTTCTTTTATTTTTAATGCTTTTATTGAAGCATAACACGTATACCATAGTGTGCACTTCAGTGGATAGCAGGATGAATTTGACAAACCTACCTATAGTAAGCTTTGAACCACTTATTGTCTTGGGGGAAGCCTGAGAGAGAACAAAGGAACTGATTCCAGAAGGTGGTTCAGTAAAAAACAAAAAAACAAAAAAACAAAAACAAAAAAAAAAACAAATGAGAGAAGCTTATATATTTGTGTATTTTTTAGTTCAGTCTAAAATTGGGAAAGTTACCTGGATATGCCCTCATGAAAACATGCACATGTGTGCACACTCCCACATACACACACTCTTGTATTAGCAAATTCCCACAAAGACTATTTCATCCAGTGTTCATGTCCTAAATACTGTTGATATATAAGTGTGTGCATATCTAAAGTCCTCAAGATGTTTTGACATACGTTTTTGTCCTCCACTGCTTTTGGGACTCCTAACCACTCCATTACATATCAGGAGTTATCTTTCTCATTTGCAGATGAGTAAATAGAGAACAGCGTGTGCAAGTTCACATAGCCAGTAGAACTAGGTTGCAAAACTTTGGGTTCCTGAACCACTTCTCTTTCTGCCAAACCCACTTCTATTCCTGCCAAATCTTCAGTTATGTGCTAACAATTTTGAGCGCTTGCCAATCTGCATTTTAACTTGGAACATATGCTTCTGAGTATGAGCAGTTTTCAGGCATAGCAGCTAGTGAAGGACCATTCCCTGTATACATGCTTTTCAGCATTGCAGTGAGGATTCATTTTTGTTAGTCCTCCTAGAGCACTGTGTAGAATATAGTAGACACTCAGTGAATATACAATGAAAGCAAAAACCAAATTGTTAATTTGACATTACTCCTTCCTCCAGCAATCAGATTCTATGCCACCAAGTAGTACTGTCACATTGGGGTCAAAGATATTTCACATATAGGTGACTGAACCATTCTTGTTAGATTCTAGGACAGTGAGAGAATGTGGATGTTCTCTGAGGTGTTTACACTGGGATGCAACCTGCATTAACTCAAATTTGTTTCTTTGCTTTGAGTACCACTCTTCTGTCTGTCTGTTCAAGGTGTTACTATGTAAGAACAGTTGTGGCTATCACATTTGTGCAGAAGCAGTGACTGGCTCTTGTAGTTTCCACCAAGGACAGAATAGCAGTCAATGAACCCATCTCCAGCATGAAGGACTGAAGTCAGGAAGAGGAGTGGAGAGCCATGGGGAGGGAGGCAGTAGAATCTCATTTTCCTTTGGCAGCCTTCACAAATAGGTAGTCCAGTTGGAGCTGTGCTGGGTGGGGAGGGGAGAGTTTTCAATTTCACCATAGCCCAATGAAAAGTGCTGACTGCTGAATGCCAGAAGGCTCTGCTCTTCTCCTCCTCCTCCTCACTGTGGCTGGGTTTGGCTCTTTAGGTCACAGTGGGCAGTATCTTTGAAGTGGTCTGGGCAATCTTCAGACCTGGTACATCTTTTGGAATCAGTGTCTTGCGAGCTCTCCGGCTTCTAAGAATATTTAAAATAACCAAGTAAGTGATCATAATCTGGACTCTTCCCAACCACCTGTGAGAGCGGAAGCTTCTCTCTCCCTTATTATATTATATTTCCTTCCATCCCCTATTCTCCCTCGCCATATGTTCCCCTTCCCTACCATGTCCTCACTCCATTCTTCAGTTCCTCCTTCTCCAAAAATCAAACCAGAAAAATATCTATGATGCAAGATCCCATGTCACATTCCTCAGGGGAGCCTTATTGTTGCTGACATCTCTCCTTCACACAAATATACAAATGCGGCACATTTCATAGATTACCAGACAGATGCCCAGCTGGATTTGGGGATAATTTTATGTTCAGTGTTCATTGCTGCAATGTTTGGGTTTTGTAGGTATTGGGCATCTCTGCGAAATTTGGTGGTCTCCTTGATGAGTTCTATGAAGTCTATCATCAGTTTGCTCTTCCTCCTCTTCCTCTTCATCGTTGTCTTTGCTCTCCTAGGAATGCAGCTGTTTGGAGGCAGGTAAGCACCAATGAATTTTCTATCCAAAGGAGCCTCAAAACCTAGTCATCAGCCTGGAAGCCCTAGGATTTCTAATTTGATCACCATGCTCTCATCTTGGGTGGTTTTTGTTTGTTTGTTTGTTTGTTTGTTTTTTGGTCCATGGCCCATCAACCACTGAGTATGTGTGGTGGAACCTATGTCTCTGCTTTTTTTTTTTTTTTTAATATTTATTTATTTTTGAGAGAGAGTGGGAGAGAGAGGCAGAGTGTGAGCAAGGGAGGGACAGAGAGAGAGGGAGACACAGAATCTGAACCAGGCTCCAGGCTCTGAGCTGTCAACACAAAGCCTGACATGGGACTTGAACTCACAAACTGTGAGATCATGACCTGAGCTGAAGTCAGATGCTTAACCAATTGAGCCACCCAGGCGCCCCCCCACCCTCATGTCTCTGCTTTTAATCTTTTCACACTGTACAGAATTCTGGTTCTGTACAAAGACCCCTGTCTTTGGAGCTGTCCCTGAAATGTACAGCATGGGGCCTTATAACTCAGGGTCAGCCCAAACCCCATCTCATTATCCACACCCTTCAAAGTACACAGTCCATCGGTAATAGTCACCAATAACACCATCTTCATAAATTATATTGAATGGGAAAAAATAAAGGAAGAAGGGAATGTGGAGGAAGAGTAAAAGAAGTGATAAAAATGGAACAATATCAGGAAGGGAAAATTTGGCATGTGAGATTTTCATTTTATTCTTCTCTCTCAACTTCTTTTTCAGGTTTAACTTTAATGATGGGACTCCTTCAGCAAACTTTGACACCTTTCCAGCAGCCATCATGACTGTATTCCAGGTATGAGACCAACTGGCAGGTAAAAATGTTAAATAGGATCTTTTGGAGCTCACAGAGCAAAATAATGATATATTAATAGAATTCTACTTTTCCTTCCCAAGTTCATCCCAGGCAACTGAGGCTCTTGTTGAATAATTATCATCACAATAATTTCTAGAATTTCTGTAGCTACATTGTTACTAATAATGGAAGAGCTCTATTATGATTACCTGATTGGCCTTTTCCCCATACTTGTGAGTTTGCAAGGGATATTAAGGCAAAGACATTCAGTAACTGATGGTATTTATGACCACCATCAAGTGGGCTTTATTCCAGGAATGCAAGGATGGTTCAGTATCCACACACCAGTCGATGTGATATACCACATTAACAAAATAAAGGATAAAAATCATATGATTACTTCAATAGATGCAGAAAAAGCGTTTAACAAAATTTAACATTCATTCGTGATAAAACTCTCAACAAACTTTGTATAGAAGGAACATGCCTTTACATAATAAAAGGCATATATGACAAACCCACAGCCAAATCATACTCAGTGGTGAAAATCTAAAAGCTATTTCTCTAAGACTAGGAACAATACAAAGATGTCTACTTGTACCACTTTTTTAATGCTTACTGTTATTTTTTTTTAATTTAAATTTTATTTAGCCAACATACAGTGCAATATTGGTTTTAGAAGTAAAATTCAGTGATTCATCACTTACATACAATACCGAATGCTCATCACAAGTGCCCCCTTAATATCTATCACCATCTAGCCCATCCCCCACCCACCTCCCTCCCATCAACCCTCAGTTTGTTCTCTATTGTTAAGAGTCTCTTGTGGTTTGTTTCCCTCTCTCCTCTTTTTCCTCCCTTTCCCATATGTTCATCTGTTTTCTTTCTTAAATTCCATATGAGTGAAATCATATGGTATTTGTCATTCTCTGACATATCTCACTTAACATAATGCCTTTTAGGCCCATCCACATCATTGCAAATAGCAAAGATTTCCTTCTTTTTGATGGCTGACTAATATTCCATTGTTTATATGTACCACATCTTCTTTATCCATTCATCAATCGATGGACATTTGGGCTCTTTCCATAGTTTGGCAATTGTTGATAATGCCTACTTGCACCACTTTTATCCTACATAGTACTGGAAGTCCTAGCCACTGCAATCAGACAAGAAAAAGAAATAAAAGTCATCCAAATTGGTAAGGAAGATGTAAAACTGTCATATCACATTTATGGTTTTCTGAAAATGGAAGTATCTTCTAACCCAGGTGTCCATTTAATAAATTATGTTTTCCACCACCCCCCCACGGCTCCCTCACAAAAAATATTTTTAAATCATGGGGGAAACTCAAAAATAAATAATGCTGAGTGCTATAGAAAACACTGTTCAGCTGGAATCTGAGGCTGAACCAGAACCCAGGTTTCTAGAATTGGAGCCTATGAGGTCCTTTCTAATAATGCTGCTATCTCAAGAACTATATACTTAGCTTCCCTCTTATAGTCTGGTAGTGACCAGACCATTTGATCTCTGTGATTACCATAGACTTGGAAAAGCTGGAGATGGAGGGAGTCTGTAGTCTGAGGAATAGAATCTTTGCTTTTGATTCTCTCTTTCCATTTTTCAATGCCTTTCTTCCTTATCAGAAGAAAGTTTAGAATTGTTCCTAAAAATGACTTTATTTTTCTCCCTGGAAGAGTGGCCAAGCAAGAGGGTAGGTGGAAAAATCCCAGGCCAGAATTTTCCTTTATATATTAGCCCTGTTTTTATTTTCAATCAACCCAGGTCTCTGACTTGCCTATTGTTTGCTTTGCCTAGATCCTAACAGGTGAGGACTGGAATGAAGTTATGTACAATGGGATCCGCTCCCAGGGTGGAGTTAGCTCAGGCATGTGGTCAGCTATCTATTTCATTGTGCTCACCTTGTTTGGAAACTGTATCCTTTTTTAAGATGCTCCTCTTTACGCTCTTCACCTGTCTGGACCAGCATTTAAAGAGGGTGGTGATGGTGGTAGAGGTGGTGGTGGTAGAGGTGGGTGGGTTTTTTTAGTGGGTCAGGGTAGCACTGGGGTGGATATAGCTCAGTATACTAAGAGAAACAAGGATTCTGATTTTAAGAAAAATGTACAGTAATTGGCTAAAGAAGACAAATATAAACAAGAAGATAAAGTATTATCTAAATCTACAACATACCCAAATAATAACACATGAAGCTCTTACACTGAATAGTTGGACATGCTATCAGCTGAGGAAAATAAGAGTTGACAAAGATAACTGTAGGCTGAAATAGTGGCCACATTGTAATACTAATAAATTAATTACATGTTAATATAGAATAGGACTGGTCACATAGTAAGATCTCAAAAATATTAGTACTGTGACTAATACTAATACTCTTAACATAGCCAACATTTATTGTATTTGTGCTTTTCATGAGACCCTGTACTAAGTGTTTTATGGGCACTGTTTCATCTAATCCTTACCTTACCATATAATCCTTAAGACTTAGAAGAAATAACTTGACCAAAGTCAAAAAATCATTACATTATAAAGGGAGACTGGAAATCAAGTCAGTTTTAATTCCCAAACCCATGTCTAGCCATAATATATAGACTAGGAAGACTTATGTTTTAATTCCAACAATTCTGCTTACCAGCTGTGTGGCCTTGGGAAAGTCCCTTAATCTCTCTGAACTTACAGTTTCCACATCTATGGGGATTATAACAGCATCTGTCCCTTTGTTGTGAATAGTAAATGAGATCATTTATTTGGGTGCACCTTATAAACTGAAAACTTCTACACAATCATTAGATGTTTCGGAGGAATGGATTTGCTTTAAAATGGGATTGGTGGAGTAAAAAAGGAGAGCCATGTGATGTAGCTGTACTTTTGCTTTTCCTAGAGTCTCACAGAGAGGAGATACTGCTTTTTAAGTTTTCTGCCCTGAAAATTTCTAGGGGTCAGAGCAGACTATGAACCAAACACTAGAAACCCATAAAAAGAAAGTTACACAGTGCATCACAGAAATGAGTCAGTTTGTCACGATGGCACCTTGATTTTCCTGTTACTCTGAGGGTAGTCAGAGCTGGACTTTTATGCCAGAACCAGTTCTACGTTCTACAATACATGGACCTCAAAAAAAGTTGGAAAATTGGGACTTCAGAGGTTGGAGCTTGGAATAGAAATAGGTTCCATAATGACCTTGTGTGCTCTGTGACATTTTTGTTAAATGAAGTATAGAAGACTTCCAGGATAAGAAGAATGAGAGAAATAAGTTAGCATCCCATTATTGAGAACCAATCAGTGATGGGGATGTGGAATCTCATTTCTTCTCATCTTTAAGAACAGAGTAAGTAATATGATTGGTCTAGGTGGGCTTCAGTTCTGTCCTCCCAGAAAGGAGAGGTAAGCTCATGCATTGAGCTCCCTACTGTCATGTTGTTCAGCCAATCTCTATTCAGTATTGCTATGAGTGGAGGCCATAGCTGTCAAAAGCCCTCCTTACTCTACCTTGGTCCCTGAGTGGTTGGATTCAGCTATTTCTTTGTCCTCTCCAAAGAGAAGATAAGTGGAAGACGGAATATATATATTCTCCTTCAGACAGGGCTGCATAACCTCTGCTTAATCAATGCTTTGGGGTACCTTCTGTTCCTGCTAGTATCCCAGGCAGGAAAGAGATGACCTAGAGATGCCGTCTCAGTCTTGCTGAAGACTTTTGGTTTTCTTACTTGCCCATCCTTAACTCATCACCCTAGACACACTGCTGAATGTGTTCTTGGCCATTGCTGTGGACAATCTGGCCAACGCCCAAGAGCTGACCAAGGTAAGCATTCTCTGGGGATCTGATGGTCCTCTAATGCCATTGGGCACTTCATCTATAAAATGGGAATGATATATCTGCTTTGCATACCTCACAGGATTATTGTTAGGATCAAGTGAAATAATATACAGTATGTGAAAAACAGAGCAGGCTAAGAAGATGTGTGTTGTTAGTAGCTCTAGTCATTTTACCTGAACTGGCTTTCCCCAGTGTTTTCACAGAGGAGACACTTACAGCAGGAATGTAGGTGAGGGGATGAGGTCCCTGCCTGATCACTTGGGGTGATGCCACTCAGCTTGGAAAAGGAGAGGGCATGAGTAGAGGAACAGTCTCAGCATTTTACTTTGGGGGTTGGGGGTTCTGCCTAGAAGGCCCTGCTCCATCACTTCCAGATACTGCAGAACATCTGAGAGGTGTTGGTTCTAGGTTCTGACCTGCACAGCTCTGGGTAGCTCCCCCGAGGGCTAGAGCTTGGGGTAGAATTCTGTGGATTTCCTGAGGGATTGTGGGCAGGGTGGAGACCAGAAACTGGCCATGCCAGGACTGAGGAGGCTTCTGTTTCCCAAGTGGCCTGGCCCCTGGCCTCCTGAGGTCTCTGAGCCAACCTACCCTCAAACTGCCTTGTTTAGTCTCTTCTCCTGCCTTCCTCATTTCACCTGGTCCCAGAACTTATGGGGAGAGCCAAGGCAGCTATTCTCCTCCATAGGGATACCAGGCAAATCCATCCCTGCTTTGTGTCTAGGATGAACAAGAAGAAGAGGAGGCCTTCAACCAGAAACATGCATTGCAGAAGGCCAAGGAGGTCAGCCCGATGTCTGCACCCAACATGCCTTCTATAGAGTGAGTTGGCTACCCCACTTCAGTCACCTCTGGGCTCCTGTGCTAATAGCCAATTCATCAACTCAAAGTGGTGTATTAACCGAGGATGCCCACTCCATGCCGGGAGATGTATAGAAACATGCGTACATAATTTTAGACAGTGGTAATTGCTGTCAGGTAAATAAAACAGGGTAATAATGCAGAGGAATAAGAATTGGGTAGAGTTCTTATAGGCAGTCTGGGAAGGATTCTTTGAAGAGGTGATATTCAAGCAGAGATCTAAATGCGGAGAAAGCAGTCATGCAAAATGTTGAAGGAAGAGTATTCTCCAGTAAGGTGCAGTGAGGCTGATATGCAGGAAGTTGGGAGGAATAGGAGACAAGGCCAGGGAGATCCTGAAAGACCAGGTAAAAGATTTTAGCTTTTATTCTAATTGCAACCATGGAAAGTCTAAAGTGGAAGGTTGGATATTACATGATTTACACTTGTAGAAGGTCACTCTTCCCTGTGGGAAATGGATTTATAGGGGCCAAGAGTGTAGGCAAGGAGACAGGTTTGACCATTAGAGTAAGTAGGTGACATGATGGTAGTTGAGACCATGGTAGCAATGGAGGAGATGAGAAGCAATCCCATTCAGTCTGTGCTTTGGAGAGAGAAACAATAGGAAGAGGTGCCAGATTAAATGTGATGGGGGTGGGGATAAAAAAAATATTTCTCTCAAGTTTTAAGGTTTGATGCCTAAGCAACTGGGTAGATGGTGATAGTACTTACTGATAGTCTAGAGAACAGTGGAAGTCCAAGATTCAGTTTGGCCACATTAAATTTGAGATACTTAGAGGACATCCAAGTGAAGATGTTGAATAGGCCACTGGTTACATGAGTCTGAAACTTAGAAGAGAAGTCAGGGTTAGAAATAAAAATTTGAGGGGAGCCATTTATATTTGGATGGGATTAAACTATCAGCATGAGTAAGCTGGCATGAAGTGAGTTGTAATGGAGACAGAGCTGCTGAGGACAGAAGCCCAGAGCACTCCTTTGCCTCAAAGTCCAGAAGAGGAGAAACCTGCAGAGGAGACTGATGGGGAGCAATTAGGAGTAGGAAGAAAGAATAAGGAGGTGTCACGTCCAGGAGACCTAGAGAGGAAAACTCTTCAGGAAGGAGCCAGTCGACAGTACAGCTAAATACTGTTGAGAGATCATGGAAGATGAGGAGAGAGAAGGGACCATTTGGTTTGGCAAAATGAAAGTTGTTAGGGACCTTCAGTTTCAGTGGCCTGGTGGGAAGAGAATCCAGTTGGAATGAATTAGGGAGAGAATGGGAGACGAGAGAGTGGAGCAGCAAGTATAGACTTTAAGGATCCAACCTGAACCTGTGGCTGCTGGTTGAACTGGCAGGAACGAGCAAGGTGTGGGCCCTGGGTGGAGCTGGAAGAAGGTGTTGGCAGGATGGAGAATCCCTGTGGTGACTTCTGAGCCTGTGTGAGGCCTATGTGGGTGGCCCTGAGGACCGATGGGGAGGCTTTGAGACCCCTGAGAGGTGCAACTCTATCCTGTCATCAGACCCCATTATCTATTATTGAAGCTGGTAAGGGAGGAGCCTTTCTTTTCCAAGTGCTCATGGGAAGATGTCTGAATGTCTGCTGCCTTGCTCTCTAGAGGCATTCTGAGACCCCTTCCCCTGGATGATCATCATCTTGCCCTCACCTTTCAGAACTGAAGGTTTGGCCTCTCAGCCCCTTCTCTGTGAGCGAGAAAAAAAACTGCTATCAGAATTTATTAAAGACTGATGGAGAAAGGCGGAACAACTCCTTCCTCTCTGGAATAATCTCTGGGCCTTGAGTGGTTCTTTCCCCACCTTCCTTGCACTCATGAGTTTGGGTTAAAAATACATACACACACAGGTATGCAAACATGCTGGTGGGTAGGGCTGACTGTCACTTAGGAGTGGGTGGTTCTATTTACTGAGATGAGGAAGCCTGGGGAAGAGTAGGTTTGGAGACGCGAGTTGGGAAGATGCTTGGCCCAGAGTAGAAACTCACTATTTATGGAATGAAAGAATGAATGAAATGCTGGTAGGCACAGGGCTGGAGGCAGTGAGCTGTGTGTGTATCTGGGCACAGAGAGGTGGAAGAAGGTGCTGTTAAGTATCCAAGATGAGCAGAGATATGACTTTGGCTGCTGGGAACTATGTCAGGGTGGGTGTGTGCTGCTCAGAAGGGCAGACAAGACTCCAGATTTCTGGACTGCCGAGGAACCAAGGATGTGGCTGTCTATGAAGAAAACATGAAGAGTGTTGTTACAAATCAGAAGGTCTGAGGGCTGGTTCTATAATTCACATGTTCAGTATACTTGGAGAGAGAACCACTTAGGATTCTAGAATCTCTGTTTCCCCGTCTTTGAAATGGAAAGAATGCCAGCTGCCCTTCCTGAGCCACAAGGTTCATGTAAGGTGTATGTGAGGTCACATACACATGAGTTGGGAGATATGTCAATGCTTCTCTGTGTGATTTTAAGAATGAAGGTATATTAATGATATGTGAATTTGGACCTTTGTGTATGTTAGTGAAGACGTGAAGAGGAGTTTGAAACGTGTATCTGATTTGTGTGGGAATTAAAAGTTGGGTCTCTCTTTGCCTGGCCTGTGTGTGTGTGTGTGTGTGTGTGTGTGTACGCGCACGCACGTGTGCTCGTGTGCACGTGTGTGTGTATGTGTGTGTGTGTGTGTGTGTGTGTGTGCGCGCGCACGCACGTGTGCTCGTGTGCACGTGTGTGTGTATGTGCATATGTGTGTGAATTCCCAAGAAAGAGTATTCTTCCATGTACTTAAACTCTTACACATGTGCTTCTGGAGAGCTGATATTTGGGTATTTGAGAATTTGCAAATAGATGGTAGAATCTGCTTTCCCCAGTGGGTGTGCGTGCTGCCTGGCTAGAGTGTGTGCTTCTATTTCTATCTGCTACCCATGCTTCTTGGCACCACCAGCCCACGTGCGCCTCATTGCATGGCAGCTGCCTGTGCTGAGGGGTGAATGCAGACGGGGGGCTCACAGGCATCTCCACTCCGTGGATGCGTGTACACACTGTGCCTCTTCCAGATGCCAAGTGAGGCTCCAGCCAGCTGCCTCTACTCCCTCCACCCACCCACGCATCCGGCTTCTCTGTGCACGTGGGGCACGGGAGTTGAGCAGGGCTACTTTACCTAGCATGTTCTCCATTGGTCAGGGTAGGAGCAGCATTTTCCAGCCTCCTAGGTCTAGGCAAGGGCCCAGTGGGCCACACTGGGGCTGGCGGCCCAGAACTTGGGGCGAGCTCGCTCCACAGGTGTCCCGGATGTGTTGTCCTCTACCTGAGCATTGATCTTGCACTGACAACTTCATTTGTAGGAGTCCCTTTTGCCTTTGTGGGTGATTCCCACACCCTGCCTGTCTGACCTTCCATCGACCTTGTAAACAAAAGAAAGCCGCATGTGTGTGTCTGTAGAAAGATTTTTTTCCCTGTGCATGGCTGAGAATGTTATGACCATGCTTTACCTGGATGAAGAGATGGAACCTAGAAAGCCTCTGGCCAGGGTCACTGTGTTGCAAAATTGCAGGAGACATTGCATTTACCTTGAAGTACATGAACATCAGCTCGAGTGGTGACCTTGCCTCTGGCCATGGGCTACTTTGTGGCTTTGAGGGTGTGCCTGGCAGAGCATTTGTTCCTGCACATTTGACAGTGATCTGAGTGATGAGTTGTGGAGTCACACCCACTGAACATACTAGAAATGACTGAGGGAAATACAACTTTCATCCAAGTTTATACAGTTTCCAGAAAAGACCTCTGAAGGGTATTTAGGTACGAGTGTGAGTGCCACTGGGGCATGTGGACCGAGCACCCGAAGCTATGTACTCTATGAAATGACATATCCGTTGTGTCTCTGCATGTATGCTTCAAACACTGGACGTGCGTGTCTGCACAGAGTAAGAATCAAAGGTCACTCCCTTGGCAAACTGAAGGTCGGGAGCCCACGGAGGGCAGCAGGCATGTGGAGACTGTATGGGCACGTAGAGGACTCTGTGCCTCTTCCTGAAAATAGGCTGGTGGCTGTGGGGCTTGTGGTTCCTAGGGGTTGGGGTGAACTGAACCTGTTCGTTTTTCTTTCCCAGAAGAGACAGAAGGAGAAGACACCACATGTCGATGTGGGAGCCACGCAGCAGCCACCTGTATGTGTGTACCGGTCTGCGTGTTTGTGAGTGGTTATGTGTGTGTGTGTAGGGATGCCGTGTCTTTGTTCTCACCCCACAGTGGACAGAGTGGCACTGGGTGTGGATGTCAGTGTGTGTCGTGGCGTGTGCGCGTGTTCTGTGCACATGGTCTGTGGACGCTATCCTCTGAGCCTTTCAACGTGTGCTTATCTCAGTGTGTGTCTCTCAGGTATGTGACCCTGTGCGTTGTTCACTCCTCTGTGCGGCCTGTGAGTGGGCACGCGTTGGTGTGGGTAATTCGTGTTGGCGGGTGTGCCTTGCACGTAGGCAGTTGCGTACAGCCACGTGTGGGCCTCAGTGAGGATGCGTGTGGGCACATGTGAGTGAAAGAGTAGGTGACTACCCTTCCGCCCGTGTGAGCCCACTCCCGTGCGCGCCCCTGTGTGCATACGTTTGCGTGTTCCTGCTGCCACGTGAAATGTTCGGCAGCAGCCTGGAGAATGAGCTGCTGTGGTCTCTACACATACAGCCTGTGGCTTCTATTAGCTGTTGTGGAAGAGGCCCACGGCACTCTTATCTGCTGAGGGTGAGGATTACGTGGGTCTGCTGGTGCCTGCTGCCTACCATCCTCCAACAGTATCCCCCCATTGCGCTTTTCAGCCTGTGCTCCCCCGGGCTGTACTCTGAGGGACAAAGGACAGGGAGGGCAGGAGGAAGAAAGATCTCTGACCTTGAATTCGGGGCCAGTGGAGAGCACAGGGTGGGTATAGGTTGATGCCCTGAGAGCAAAGGAGAACAGGGGAGTGAAAACCTGGTAAGCCTTCGAACTCCTCTCCTGCAGGCTCTGGCGGCTCAGTCCTTGGGTGATCCCCACCCTGCCCTTCGACTACTGCAGAGCAGGGATTAGAGCGGGAAGCCCCACACAGCAGGAGGCACTGGTCCAACCACCTACTTGTGCGTGGCCCACTCGGCTCCTTGCATCTTTCTGTGCTTCCTGTCTGCAGGTCCTAGGCTCTCCCGTTTGCTGCCCCCCATGTGTCCCGCCCCTTTCCCGCGGCTACTGAGGGCTGGTCTCCACCCCTGTGGCTCCCTCCCTGGCCTTCAGCTGTCAGCTTCTGACCACAGTCCTCACCCTCTCCTCTTTGGCAGGAGGGAGCGGAGGCGCCGGCACCACATGTCCGTGTGGGAGCAGCGCACCAGCCAGCTGAGAAGGCACATGCAGATGTCCAGCCAGGAGGCCCTCAACAAAGAGGAGGCCCCACCAATGAACCCCCTCAACCCCCTCAACCCGCTGAGCCCCCTCAATCCGCTCAACGCCCACCCCAGCCTCTACCGGAGACCCAGGCCCATTGAAGGCCTGGGCCTGGGCCTGGAGAAGTGTGAGGAGGAGCGCGTCAGCCGCGGGGGGTCCCTCAAGGGGGACGGACGGGACCTGTCGAGTGCCTTGGACAACCAGAGGAGCCCCTTGTCCCTGGGCAAACGGGAGCCACCATGGCTGGCCAGGCCCTGTCACGGGAACTGTGATTCGACCCAGCAGGAGGCTGGGGGAGGGGAGACTGTGGTGACCTTCGAGGACCGGGCCAGGCACAGGCAGAGCCAGCGGCGCAGCCGGCACCGTCGTGTCAGGACCGAAGGCAAGGAGCCCTCCTCCACCTCCCGGAGCAGGTCTGCCAGCCAGGAGCGGAGTCTGGATGAAGGGGGGCCCACCGAGGGGGAGAAGGATCGTGAGCCCAGGGGCAGCCATGGGGGCAAGGAACCCACGATCCAGGAAGAAGAAAGAGGCCAAGACTTAAGGAGGTAAGTTAGCCACAGGAGTGTCCTGGAGGCCCAGAGCACGCCAGGTGCTAAGGATTCCCCAATACGATCCTGCCTGGCCCTCAGTTTTCCCTTTCATAAGATGGAAGTGATACTAATGCACCCTTGATAAGGTACGTGTAAATATGACACACGATGAGCTCTGTCCCCCTGAAACCCAGGGTCTGTTCTTCTAGGCATGTCCTGTTGGGCGTGGCTCATAGACGGATGGATGGGAATAGGGCACGGACGCCGCTTGCGGGTCTTAGCTCCTCTCTGCCTGGGTGGGTGGGGGTGAGAGGCGGCAGATGCCATGGTCTCCAGCAAGGCTCCCTGGGCTTCCCCTACCCGTCCCTCTCGCCTGGCTCACCGGCCACTTTAGAACAGCTTCTTCTGAGCTGAGTGCCGGCCGTCTCCTCCTGTCTCCGCAGGACCAGTAGTCTGATGGTGCCCAGAGGCTCCGGGCTGGCAGGAGCCCTCGACGAGGCCAACACACCCCTAGTGCAGCCGCAGCCAGAGCTGGAAATGGGGAAGGACTCGGGTCTGATGGAGCAGGAGCCAGAGGGCAGCAGTGAGCAAGCTCTGCTGGGCCACGTGCAGTTGGACATGGGCCGGGCCCTCAGCCACAGTGAGCCCGACCTCTCCTGTGTCACAGCCAACACGGACAAGGCCACCACCGAGAGTACCAGCGTCACCGTCGCCATCCCCGATGTGGGCCCCTTGATGGACTCAACTGTGGTTCACAGTGAGAACACAAGTCCATGTCTCCCTTCACCCTCATCACCCATCCCCCCAGGGCTGGGGACAGTTGTGGCTCTGGAGTCACTCAGTAAAGCTGCGTGGAACCCCCCACCAGCAGGATGGAATCGTTGTTCAGCAAGTAAACAATAGCAGCATCTGTGTCTCGGTTTGCAGGAAAAAGAAGTTAGGATTTTCTCCATCTTTAGTTTTATCTGTAAAATTTCCTGAAGTCTTGGCCCCTATGACCACCATAGACACTTCAGAGAGGTCACGTGTGCTTTTGCACCCAGATGTGTATACAGGGCTGTTTGATTTATCCTGTGAGCGCTTGATGGCACTCACCAGGACCTCGAGGGTGCCATGTCACCGAACCAGTTAGGGAACCTGTGTGGAACAGGAGATGGGCCAGGCTGCTTAGTGTGTGGCTTCCACACACCTGTTTCTCCTGAGGCTTCAGTTTGTCAACCCTGAAGTGAAGCACTGAATTGGGTGATCTCAAGGTCTTTTTCAGCACTAACATTTTATGAATTTATTACTCTTATTTACTCTTTTCTTCACGAAGCCTGTACTCAGTTTCTCTGATAGATTCCTCAGGCAATGGATGTTAAACTCTAGTCCTCAAAAGGAAACGCAAAAAGCCCTCCTCCTAGCCCTGATCTCTGCCCTAACCCCACCCCCATCCCTGCCCTAACCCCTCCCCCTCTCTGCCCTAACCCCACCCCCTATCTATCTCTGACTTAACCCCACCCCATCCCTGCCCTAAACCCACCCCCTATCTCTGACCTAACCCACCCCCTATCTCTGCCCTAACCCCACCCCATCCCTGCCCTAACCCCTCCCTCTATCTCTGCCCTAACCCCACCCCCTATCTCTGCCCTATCCTCACCCCATCCCTGCCCTAATCCAACCACAGCCCTATCCTCACTTCAACCCCACCCCTTTTCCTGCCCTAACCCCATCTCTGTCCCTGTACTAACCCACCCCCACCCCAACTTCACCCTCACCCCATCCCTTCCCTAACCCTCCCCCCACCTCCATTCCTGCATTAATCCTGACTGCTGCTTCATGGCCGCTGAATTATGACCAGAGGATTTTCTACCCTTGCTTTTTTTCCTTCCTAATTTTTTCCATATATTTCTATTTTCATAGTACAGTCCCCTCTTCCTGTTTTTTCTTTCTTCTACCACTCCATCTCCACTGCTTTACTTTCAGTACACTCAGAATGCCAGTATTGCTTTAAAAAGTGAAGTCTCCCATGTTTACTGTTCCTGGGGTTGACTTGGGCTGCGTCTCAGGATGTCAGACTCACAACCTCCTGTGGTGTCTGCTTAATTTTATGCTCTAATAAATCAATCTTTTGGACACTTTCTTATGAGAAACATTAAGAAAGCTGGACTTTCCTCTGTTCCTGTTCTGGGGCTAGTCTATGGGCTTGGTCATAGGTAAGGGCATATTGTCAGAGGGATCTTGGATCATTTACCTTTTGGAAGGACCCAGAAGGGGCCAGAGCTTCAGAGCTTTGCTGCTTGCACAAGGCTCCAGGGTAGAGTCAGCCATTGAGAGAGACCGGTGGGGGAGTTTGACTGAGTCCGTTGCCCACTCAGCTTCAGCCTGTCTGCCACTCACCCACACTGTAACTTGATATGGAAACTGAGGCTGGTGGCCCAAGAGCTCCACTCAGTCTCTGACTTCTTCAACCTCCTAGGCCAGAAAGGCAGCCCTGGTCCCATATTTGCATGAATATTGCATTCCCATTTCAGCATTAATCATGACTGGAAAAAGCACAGCCAGAAAGTCAGCCACAAACAGAGTAATGGTTTCTTAAAATCTTCCATCTCAGTGTGATATCCTTGAAAGGATAAAGGAATTGGAAACTAGCTGTATGAACTTAGGATAGATAACTTGAATTCCCTGACCTGCACTTTTCCCATCTGTATAATGGGCATAATACATGCCTCTCAGGGGGTATTGTTATGAAAATTCAATAAGTAAATATAGACAAAGAATCTAGATTTTAGATACAAGTAAACTCTGTAAACCTTACAACAGAAACAGTCATGCTGTTACCCTGGGAACATGATTATTGTTATTTTTTTAATGTATGTTTATTTTTGAGAAAGAGAGAGTGCAAGCAGGGGAGGGGCAGAGAGAGAAGGAGACACAGAATCTGAAGCAGGCTCCAGGCTCTGAGCTGTCAGCACAGAGCTCAGCACGGGGCTCGAACTCACGAACCGTGAGATCATGACCTGAGCCGAAGTTGGATGCTCAACCGACGAAGCCACCCAGGCGCCCCACAGGATTATTATTTGTATGGCAAAACTGTATCATGTAAGCGTAGGGTGAGGGTCAGGCTAGGAGGAGAGTAAGGGCTTAACTCCGTGTAATCTCACAAACAACCCAGTGTTTGCAGGGTGCCTGGCTAGGTGCTTTCCTATAACCCCTTCCCCTCCTCTCTATCCCATCCCTGTGGAAAACAACAGGCGCTAGTCTCGCACGCAGCGAGGTTTCTGATGATTCCAACATGTTCCTTTTACAGTTAGCAACAAGACTGATGGAGAAGCCAGTCCTTTGAAGGAGGCAGAGATCAAAGAGGAGGAAGAAGAGCTGGAGAAGCAGCAGCAAAAGAAGGAGAAGCGTGAGACGGGCAAAGCCATGGTTCCCCACAGCTCTATGTTCATCTTCAGCACCACCAACCCGTAAGGCACCCTCCCGTCGCTCGCCCTTTGGTGCCAGGGTAAACAGCCAGGGTTAGAGCCAGGGCAGGGTGATGAGGAGGAGAGAGGAGGGTCCACTCAACCTCCTGATCCTTCTCAGTGGACTGTGGCCAAACATCTGAGACATGCAGGCTGCTCACAGGTGGAAGCGGTCATGAGATTGAATAGCCTCTGAGCTCTGTGCTGAGTCTAAAGAATAACTTAACACAGAGAAGCGTGAGCAGTGTCATGAGAAAAGGACCTTTACCTCAAATTGTTCAGTAGGTTGTGTGGGGGGCTGGGGTGGGAGGCAGGAAATCTATTTGGGATGCGTCACTAAGTACTTCAGTGGTGGACAGAACTGAGCGTGTGGAGCCTAGAATAAAAAGATCATCTACTGGAGTTTAAGAGTATTGGTCTCACTGCCCTATATGTGGATTTTGAAATGGGCATGTTCTTCAAAGGAGAGGTAGGGGCATGAGATGGAGGTAGCAGAGAAGTTCTGGAAGGTTAGACTGAGCTGCCTTTTGCCTTGGAAATGAGCAAGATGTACACACAGACCAGCTTCTGAGGCTAGGAAGGCAAAAAGGTTTTCAGTGACCACATGGGCAGTATTCAGGCAAGCCTCTGGGAGGGAAGGCACTTGCACGAAGGTGTGTCGGGTTGCCTGAGTCCAGAATACAATCTATAGAATATAATTACTCAGAGTACCTGGGGCTCATGAAAAACGGTTGCTCCTCTCATCAGGAATCTTAGAATCAAGGTCTGTGTTTACGTTTCTTGGTTCTTACGAACTCCTTGCTGTGCCCTAGTTTCTGTACAGTGGGGGAGTAGACACTGGGATACAATGGAGGGTACCATGTAGCCATGTCGAGTCGTGTAGTCTGATGCTGGCTGCTCCCCTGCCTACGGATAATGTATCTTGGCTTGCGTACCGCAGCCTCTCACCAATCTGATTACTTTCTCCCACTGGAGCTTTAAATCAAGGGTGGTGCCTGAGAAATTAAATTGCTCTCCCCATGGCTTCCTCTGGCCAGGACCTGGCTGTCTGGAAGAGGCTGATGAGCACGAGGGTGGGGAGAAAGGGAAGGGGATGGGCGGGAAGCAGAGGCAGCTCATAGGGCTCCCTGCCCCACAGGATTCGCAGGGCCTGCCACTACATTGTGAACCTGCGCTACTTTGAGATGTGCATTCTCCTGGTGATCGCAGCCAGCAGCATTGCCCTGGCAGCTGAGGACCCCGTCCTGACCAACTCGGAGCGCAACAAAGTGGGTGCACGGGAGCCGTTGGCAACCTCCGTAATACCCTGGTACCCACCCCAGCCCCTCCCCATCCCAGCTTTGAAGGTGAATTAAGGAAGGTTCCTGGGAAATGAAGAAGGGTTAAGAAATGGCCCATTCCTGTCCCTCAGGGCAAAGTATGGCCCATTTCAAGACCAGCCCCTTCTCTCCAGTCCCCACTCCGCGGCCACACTGTGTGCCTTTATGCTTCAGCAGTGGCCATTCTACCCAGAGCCGGGCAGGTCTTTGCAGCCACCCAAGGGCTTATAGGGTCATGTAGGGCCATCAGAGATGTGCATGAAGTTGGGGAGCAGCAGCTCTACCCCAGGTTGCTGAGACATCTCCTGGAGGTCCTAAGGGTGTATGTTGGGGAGTATGAGGGAGGTTGGGAGGATTGGAACTGACAAGGACTCCAGGTCCTGAGGGAGATATTTGTGGGGCCATTCAGACCCAAGAAGTTAAGTTCTGGCCAAGGGGAGGGAAGAGCCAAGGACTGACCGCTAGGTCATGTGGCTCCAGCAGTAACACGTGGCTCCTCTCCTCCTGTGTCCAGCTGGCAGGTCTGATCCCAAGCTCCTGTCCTGAGGTAGAGGCGAGTCAGGGTGGGGGTGCAGGACTGCATGCATGTGGGCAGGCAGAGTGTGTATAGCCTGGTGCCCACACGTGAGCCTCTTCCCTTTCACCGTGTGTCTTACAGGTCCTGAGGTATTTTGACTATGTTTTCACTGGAGTGTTCACCTTTGAGATGGTTATAAAGGTAAAAGCCTCTAGAGAAAAGCTGGTCTGGGGTTTGGATGGGTCACGTGTCTGCTTCTTTAGTAAGGTGCCCTTCCTCGGTGCTGTCACCTACCAGCCAATGACAGACCCTCAGTAGGGCCTTTAAGCCATGTTTCCTCTGGCCTCGGAATTCTGATGAAGTCTGTCCTGGCAAGACGTTACGGCACAGCATGTCTGCGTGGATCTGTTTAGACTGGGGCAAGACCTGTGGGTGCGGCCCAAGGGGGAGCCAGGCCCACCCTCAGGCAGGCAGTGGGAGTGCAGACAGGGGTGGGGACTGTCCTCGCCTCCCCGGTGTGCTCCCCGGTCTGCGCCTGGGTATACGCCAAGGCAAAGGGCCAGGTAGGGATGAGTCTTCTTGGACACCATGTAGTTCCAGCTGCACTCACTGCCCCCCATTCTGTTTCCCACCACCCTAACACCCCACATTTCTATTCTTGTTCATAGTCTCCCCTACCCAGGGCCTCCCCCTCTGTGCAGGTGTGGTGATGCCTGGTGCTCTAAGCCACTAATGGAGGAAGGAATGTGGCCGAGTTCTGTGAGAGCCAAGGAGACCAGTTGAACCCTGGTGGCTATGACAAGGGGCCTTGGGCTTCAGAGTGAGGTGGAGAGAGCTTGTGGGACATGTCCACTTGCTCTTCAGGTCCTTGGGTAGGGTTGATTGTAGAGATGATGGCAGTAGGGGCATTGAGGTGGAGAGAGCTTGTGGGACATGTCCACTTGCTCTTCAGGTCCTTGGGTAGGGTTGATTGTAGAGATGATGGCAGTAGGGGCATTGTCACTGGGAGCCCTGAGCTCAGGGTGCATTGCCAACACTGGTGGGCTCATGCTGGCTGTTCACGTCTTTCTCCTTCAGATGATAGACCAGGGCTTGATCCTGCAGGATGGGTCCTACTTCCGAGACCTCTGGAACATCCTGGACTTTGTGGTGGTGGTTGGCGCATTGGTGGCCTTTGCTTTGGCGTAAGTGTAACTCTTTCTTCTCATTCAATTCCCTTTTGTCCCTTCTTCCTGAGACTTTGATTCTGAGGCCTTTCCAAGGCCAGCCTGAGAAACAGTTCACTCAGCAGTGCCAAAGAGAGCTGCCCTGGAAAGCCGCTTCCCAGTTGCCCTCTTTGGCCCTCCCAGGAGCCTTTTATCTTCAGCTCACATGCTCTAAATGGTAGCACTGGTGAAGGAGGAGCCGGGAAAGTCCTTCAGGAGAAGTCAGAGGCCCTGAACTTCCTTTCTTGGAGATGAGGAAGCATGGGCAGGTGCTCACCCGTGTGGGCAGTGCCTCCCGGGGCTCAGGGAGAGACCCAGGACAGCTTCCATAGCGTTCAGTTCTCAATTATGTCAAATAAAGGATCAGCTTGAAAGAAGAATGTAGAGGGTAGAACAAAGTTGGGGATCACAGAATCTTGAGCATGAGGAGATTCTCTGCTCACGAGCAGGGATACCCCAGAGACAGTTCTAGGACATAAGAACCATATTAATATGTTTAACTCCAGAATGTAAGATTTAGGAACCTCCTTGATAACACATTGAGGAAAAAGTTTTAAACCATTCAGGTGACTAAACCATGTTCATTACATTTGGGGATTTTTTTTTTTCAAACATTGATCCAGCTATAGCAGGTTTTCAGCCACATTCTGACACTCCTGTGGAATCCAAGGAAGGGGCTCTCTTAACCTTCCAGGGTATAGCTGGGAAATACACGTGGTGTCAGGGCCTTTTCCCTAATCTGATGTGTAGAGTACCCTGAGATGAATGACCGGCCTTTTGGGCTCTCTCTGTACCTTGTTCCATCGCCAGAGCAGCCGTGGTACAGCAGGCTTCCCTCCAGACTCTTCAAGTTCAAGAGCCGAATCTTCTAAGCCAGTCTGGCTACACTGTGATGAGGCAGAAGGAAAACATTTGGAAGTTGCTGTCAGTGATAGTAACTGCAGGAGGAAAGGGCAAAGTACCTGCATAGGTTTGACCTTCCCAGGTCCAAGAAAGGGGTCATCCACCCCCCTCTTCTCCCCAAATACCATCAGCTTCCATTTCTGTCTACACTGGCAGAGAAAGAGGTGGGGTGAGATTTAAGAAGGAACATTCCCCAAGTGGCTGAGGGTAGGGAGTTCTCTGTGGGAGAGATGAAAGGTCTCCAGCTGTCCTAAGAATCCAAGATCTCCCAGAACCTAGAAGTGGGCTATTTGAATTGCTGTCCCAGCCATGAGGGACCCTCCAAAGGAGAGCCAGGTTGAATGTGGCTTAAGACCCTGAGCTAACCTTGCAGGACAATTTCAGGGTCCCTTGGCTCCCAGTACACCAGTGTAGCAACCCCTATTAGAGTCACATGGAAGCACCTGTATCTCTCACAACAGGAAAGACTCATAGTAGACGTGACTGAGCCATTTCCAAGGAAATTTCAGAAAGCATGGTATTTTCCTAAACATCCGGACCTTGTATGAATTGTCATCTCACGGTAAAAATCAAGGCAACTCTGCCTCTACCAAAAGGACTCCCAGCTCCTCTTCCTCCTTCTTAGAAAGAAGCATTAAAGTCAGCCTTTTTCTTAAGGAGGCCTACTTACTTGGTTAGGGATAAATATCACCCTTGAGTTTCTAAAAGGTCAAGTTCCCTTTTCATTTTATCAATTCATTTGCATACATTAGTCACCATATTGTTCTTCTTTCTGATTTTGATCTCCATAAAGTAGTTTATGTCTTTTTGAAGAAATGAAAGACAAGGAGAGAGAAGTATATCAAAGAATCCATCCCATCTTTAGGAAGAACAGAGCCCATTGTGGGGCAGGCCAGAGTGGGAGAAAGGCAGGCCCCGTTTTGAATCCCAGCCCCTCTGTTTACCTGCATCATGTCCTAGAGCAACACAGCAAGACAACAACCCTTTTACCCTCAGCTTCTCATCTCTGAAATGAAGTCAAAATAATGTGTATAGAGTGCTTAGCATAGGGCCTGGCACAGTGTAAATGATCAATAAATGTTAATTCCCTTCCTTATCCTCCCATTCTCTCATGAAGTCTAAACATTGGAGCCAAGTATGTGTTGATATATAATGTGTGCAAATCATTAAAGATGAACACAGACTGGTTTTCAAGACTTGTTTTACACACACACACACACACACACACACACACACACACACACACACACACACTTTGTGCTTACATACCAGGTGTGTAGGTGCCCGCAAAGAAGAATTGCATCTTAGAGGAAGCCTCTGCATGCCTGCTCCACAGTCCAGCTGTCTCTTCTCATATCCAAAGCGAAGACAGTTGGCTGGAGGGTTGTCACCTGTCTTGTTCTTTTTTTGTACCCTTTGAAAACATGGCGGTGGTGGCTTTGGTGCTGGTGGCAGGAAAGCCCTAACAGCCCCGGAACTGAAGCCTTTCTGTTGGCCCTCAGACCAGGTACAGTGCAGGGAACCCCAAGAACCCCTGGGTTCTGGGGTCCACACTTATGTGATGGATTGAGAGTTATGATCCATCACTTGCTTTTAGTGATGTCACTTCCTGAACCTTTTCTTGATTTCCTTGGAAATGTAAATGGTACTCGCTCACCCTTCTCCATCCATTCTCTTTTGTTACCATCCTTCCAAGATGGCCATGCACATTTCCTCTCCCCTTCCTCCTGCTCATGGAATAGGCTCACACCCCTGTCCTCTGGCCTTTGTCACATTCGCTGAGGTCCAGGTAATGCTTTCTCTTGCTCATGTGCCATGCTTCCTAACTCTCTTCTCTCCCTTTCCTCATTAAGGGCACTGGAGAATTCAGCTCTCCCATCACTTTGGTAGGGTTGGCCAGGACCCCACCTGCCAGCAGAGTGAGGGCCTGGCCCGGCGCAGACAGCAGAAGGAAGCCTGTGTTGCGCTCTGCCGGGCTGTGGCAGGAGGCTCAAACCAACAGGAAGCCAAATGTGGGGACATTCTGCAGACTTTTCAAGGACTCCCTCCTTGTGGTTACAACTTCCATTGTTACAACCTATATGTTTGCCTCTGGGAATGTCCGCCATTCAGATGACCTCACTAGCCCTCTCTCTCTCTCCTCCTTGAAATTGAGCCTTGCCCTACCGAGGCTTCTACTCAGGCTATTATTGTTCAGTTTGAGTAGAACCAATGATGATTGCCATGGTAACACCTTTGTGTGATGCCTCAGAAGTCATAGGTGACTTGGCATCCCTTCCAGCACTGTCACCCCAGACCCTCTCAGAACCCAACCCAAGTCCCAGGAGCAATACCCCTAACCGAGGGGAGGGAATGGCCTGTAGCTGAATTCTCAAAGAAAGCTGCGTGGTCCCCTGAGCCCTTCTGCAGAGGTCTGCACCTGCCCTCATGTATGTTTTCTATAAGCATATATGCTGTTTGTGTAGTGGCAGAAGAGAACTCTCTCTTCTCTATAGCTGCATACATCAAGTGAAGGGATTCTTTATAATGTAAACCTGGCAAATTCTGTTTGGGAACTTTTGTTAATGACTTTTGAGGAGGAGGGGAAGGGGATTTATTTTCTAAGTGTGGGTATCCTGGGAGATGAGAAAATAAACGGAAAGATACTCATATGGCCCCTTTCCTGCTCTTCCCAGTACACTTTTACATTATAAAGCATTTATAAGAACACTCAGGTCTCCTGCCTTCAGCCAGATACCTGTGTAGGGAAGTGGGCAGAGTTCTGGCAGAGGTTGGATATGTTTCTCCTCATTGCACTGCCCTCACGACACCCCACTTTCTGGGCCATATGGAGACATAGAGTGTTTGCCAACTATAAATGTACTGACTGTGCCTTTTCCTCTTTGAGGTTTCAAGAGAAGTCTGGTGAGTGACTGGATCTATGAAACCTTTCCTTTTTGTCTTTTTCTATCTGAAAAAGAGGGATTCTTCTGTTTGATAATTATGTTACACCCAAGGACCAGAAACTGCTTTCCCCAGTTCCCTCACACCCTGTTGCCATCATTTCTGCTTCTCAGCCTCCTGGGTGGGAAAACAAAGATGGCTCCAGCCTTGGCATTTCGGGGTATCTGCGCATCGGGCACATTCTGTCACTTTGGGATGTCCTGCTAGAGTCAGCTGCCTTGTAGGGAAGTCATGTGGCCACCACATCAGAGTGAGTTCATGAGCCTTGCACAATAATGGTGATGCCCCTTGGCCTTCAAGTTTCACACCTTAAATGTTGAGTGGGGGGATTTGGACAGGCAGGTAGACAGGGACAGCATCTCAGGAAGAAAGGCAGGAAAGGACTGGGACATCCTGCACTCCAACCCAAGCCCCTCACCCTCCTCATTCTCTTTATTCTACAACATGTTACTTGACTAGACTAGCTCAAGTCAAGTCACCAGGTGAGCTATCCTGGATCGGATTCTAAATAGTAAACTCACAGCTTATAATGGCTTGTCAACACAAACATTAAAAAAAAAAAATAGCAATTCTGCTCCCACCTCTTCCCCCACCCCCCATCTGGGACCTGTACATCAGTCAGAGCCATGCAAGCTCTCTGGCGGCTGAGGCCAAAGCTTCCCCTTGCCGTTTGCCATCCTCGCAGGGCATGAGGTAAGGTCAGGACTCCCTGGCACGCAGGGGACCTGGATCACAGCCACACTTGGCCTTTAATTATTCAGTGCTTAGCCAGGAAGGAAAAGCATGAGTCAATATGACTCTTGATGCCAGAAAGAGCCAGAATTCCCACATTAGCTTTTATTGCATTCTTTTCATTGAAGTGTGTTGCTTTTCTGACATTTGACACTCTGCCCTAGTCTTTAAGATGGATAAGGTCTGAATGCAGCCACAGTGGTGGAGCGGGTTCTGAATTCATTCAGTGAAACACACAGATACAATTTTAGATTCAGAAGGGACCTTAAGAGCCACAGAATATGGTACCCCAGTTCTCGTTTCATATTTATAAAGACATGAATGTGTGCTCTGCAAAAGGAGGGGCTATTCAGAACTGAGATACTCATATACACTTACGCTCAGCGTAGTAACAGTAGTAC